CCCCAAAACCCCAAAACCCCAAAACCCCAAAACCCCAAAACCCCAAAACCCCTGCATAAGTACCGATTTTTGAGTAAGTGTTAATAATATTTAATCATATCAACCAAATGAAAGAAATGGAAACATTCTCCTGCAAGAAATGAGACAAGGAATTTACTACCAAGTTCAGCTTGAATAGACACCAGCTTGTTCACAACAACGAGAAGAGGTTTACTTGAAAGTTCTGTCCTAAAAAGTTTGCCTTGAAGCAATACTTGAGAGAACACGAATGTATCCATACAAATTCTAGACCTTATGTCTGTGGGGTCGATGGCTGTGAGGAAAGATTCCGCCAACGAGGTAAATTAAGCCTTCACAGAAGAAAACACAAAGGATACAAGATGAAAGAGTACAATCTCATCAGGAAGCTTAGTGGTGCAGACCATGAAGGAAGCGATGAAGAGACTCATATGGGCCATATTCACCAAGAATACGAAGATAGTCTTCATGCATCTTCAGATGTTAATCTTAACACTACCAAGCTTACTAAAACTGCCAAAAAGAACACTTGAAGAAAAGGTAAAAAGAGATCAGTTAACTATCGGGAATCCGATAGTGACTTTGAACTCCCCTCTTATTCTGCTAAAAAGGCTACCACATCACAAAGGAGATCTAGAAAAAGACACTCTGTTGCTAAGACGTCTGCTCAGGTTGAAGGTTTTAGTAGCTGTGAAGAAGATATAAATATGTCTAATTCTGAAGAAGAAGTAAACAAGGTAGAAGAACCCTTGTGTCATGAGCCATCCCTAGCTGTCATTACTCATACAGAGATCGAGAAGAAAGCTAGCAATGACAGTACTTATGAAGGTTCTATTTGAGGAAAAAGAGCCAAAGCACGGAAAGTGTTAGAAAATTCTAGAACCTCGGTGAATCAAAATTTAGAAGCCAATCACACTGAATTTGGAGAGGTATCTTCGAAGAATACTATGGAATCTAAACCTTCCAACTTTGAGTGCTTGATTCAAGCTGCTCATATCTATACTGATTTGATGAACAACCAGAAAGTTGAAGAAAAGTGTGAAGGCCCTACCATTCCTTCAAATTCGGTAGATCTGAATGCATCCAACAGCTTAGTTACTAATGCTCAATGTTTGGATCTGATTGCAGGCCTTCTCTTCAGTCAAAATTCTAATATAGTTAATTTATTAAGAAATAAAGCATAGACATCACAGTTATTATCTTCATACCATCTTAAACTTTGCATTAACATGAATAACGGGCTTAAAGGTTAGACATCTTATCATCAATTTGGCTATTTTTACTTGAATTGAGTCCTTAAACCAGATGGGTTATGATTGGATTATTTAAACACTTGTTACGATAGAGCTATCCCATTACTCACTAATAAGATTTCCAATAATTAAGAAATTTATGAATCTAAGTGTTAATATTTAGCTCCATCTCTTGGGTACAAAATTTGAATATGCCAATGGTTATTAGTGACTCTCCTGGGAGCTTCTAATATTTTTCCTTTATTAATGGATATTTTCGAGCAAATTTGGGCCTAATCGGAACGAAGAGGGTAAGAATTGTCCTACTTTTGAGAGCAGATTAACACGTCTCCTTCCCGATGAATCTATTTCACAGCTAAATTACGTAATTGTTTTTCTCACACTATTAGGCGAGTGAGCATCCCAATATTTAGTAGATTTAGGGCCAGGAGATTTAGAGGAATGATGGTATAAAATTCAAACAGTTCCTCAGAATTTTTCACAAAATTTTGGTAAGGCTACTACATCAGCGGAAAAGTGTCACCTTATAATTGAGTTAAAATTTATGGCGAAGAAGATACAATCCTTCAAGATTCTGCCAAACAAAATTTTCTTTCTTGAGACTAAATCAGTTTGCAAATCTGAATCAGAAGATATTTACAACTCAAAGTTTGGTGAAAGTGATGCTGCTAAAGAGTGATGACTTTTTAAGTTATCTTATAAAATTCCAATACTTTTCTTTAAAGATGTCTAAAATCGAGCATTTACCTAACCAGAAGAAAGATGATAGTTTTAAAGCATTTTATTTTTGATATATATTTAATTTCCTACCAAACCACTCGTATCAAGCATTATCTATACCTCTCAAAGTGTTTTCAACAACTTACTAAGTGAGAAGTCTCAGTCAAAATCAACTTTCTCAACTTATTTTGAATATTATCGGAAAAACCATAGTCAATAGCATCGACAAAATAGGGGTTTTGGGGTTTTGGGGTTTTGGGGTTTTGGGGTTTTGGGG